AACACTGGCTGTGCTGAAGAGATTGTGTTTGTGTGTATTCATGTGCTGTCTCTGCGTGGGTATATGATCTGGTTGTGTGAACGAATTTTATATTCTGTGTGTAGGTGTGTATACCACATATGTATTTCCAAACATACAGTACAGAGTATATATATATATATATATATACTCATGTATAGGTATCATATGTGTGATATTGTTTTTTTTATGTGTCTGAGAGATTTAGGGAAGTACAAGAACACATGGGTTTTCAGAATGTCTAGTTGGCTTTACTGAAGCCCCATATAATTGGGTCCACCAGACACTTCTCAGGGGCCATACACAGGATGCATCCGTGTTCAAAAACAGCTTCAAAAATACAAAATTGAACAGAATACAAGGGGTCTCAAGACACGTTTTTGAGTTGAACTATTTTTAACTTGACACACCATCTTGAAAACACAATGATCATGGCACACAATGCTGAAAAACACAGCAAAACTCTCAAAACAATGGCCATGGATGCCCAGTCTTTTCATAGACTGACATTTAAAAAATAGCACAGACTAAATGCAGGAATATACAGCCATTCAAAAGGACATATTTAAGTTATAATGTTACTTTTGTTTACAAGAAATAGAGAAAATCTTAATTTTGTTTTAAAAGAAAATCTCTCTCAGCCAATAGTGTAAACTATAGAAGAAACCTCCTAATATGGTACATTTAAATATATATATATATATATTTTAAAAAAATTAACAAGGCAGTTACTATTACACAAGATATATCAATCAACAACCAAAAACTGCGCTGAAGATACAGTATATACTAAAGTCAATTTTAAATTGCATTTGTTGTCTAAAACTGTTAAGACAATGTGTAAAATCATAATAAAAGTATAAATTATGAACACATCGGTTACAAACCCATGAGTATTGAAACACTGAATAAAACATGTCTAAATCAAAACATTTTAAATAAAAAATTCACATGAAAGAGTAAACAATGGTTCTTCTAAAAAAGTAACACAGTAATGCTCTCAAATAGAAAAATGTGTATCTATTTAAAGATTTTAAAAGATGTAAGTGCAGGTTTTAGCATGTTGACAGTTATTGTGAAACTTTAGAATGCTATACCACTCCCTGCGGAGTTGAAACTTATAATTCAATCCATTTAAAGAATCACTACTAAAAATGCTAAAAACTAGTTAACCACACTAATCGATTAGTTATTGGAAAACTAGTCAACCACCCTGCCCATCAGTAGTATGCCTGTACGTCCATAAGCAGGTGCAGCAGCAAGTTGTTTATATAGAGGGAGTTATGTCCGTGTATGCATGTCTGTAATATTGCATGTTTTCTTTGAGGTTGTGCCTCTGTAGTTTGTTACAGAGCACAGATGAGATATAAGATATTTAATAGAGATCAGTTTAAGGTTCTGTTAATGTATCTGTTCGCAGGGAAATTAAATTAGTTAAATAATTGCCTTGCCAAAAAAAGGCCTGTCGAGATTGTCAAAACAACTCGCAGCCTCCTTTCTTTAAAGGAGGTTGGTTTTATTCTTTGTATTGTCATAGACTACAAAGACTAATAATGAAATTATGCACTTAAATTAATAATTAATGAACTCACTAAGGGGTTCGTCTTTTCATTTTCTTAAAATAGTAAGAATATGACTCAGTTCCACAACAATCGTCGTAACCTAAGTGTACGTAGGTGTGTGCGCTGGTGCTTTTTTCTTAGCAAACAGCCTGGTTCTGGTCCCCAACTGAGATCTCCACTGTCGCACCGCTGTGTGATGGAGAAGAGATGTGTATGTATGTGTGTGTGTGTGATACTGGTGGGAGAAATCCCTTTGACTGAAGCAGTGGCCTTGGTCGGCCTCACCTTATCCTCAGGCAAGAGCTCCAAAGGAAGCAAGAACAACTGCTAGCAATGTTATGGAAATGCCATCAGGCAAAGGGGCATTACACAACAGATTGTTTTATGAACCCATTATTGTACGCTCAAACACACAATCATGCAAACACACATCCACCCACACGCACATATACACACAATGAAAATGGCATTACTGGGCATGCCAATGTGGGGCCAAATGCTCTGGGGCACAAAGGGAGGAGAGTGAGGAACACAGCTGAGATGGTGGAGATAGAGAAAGATAAATGGAGAAGTTAGGCAGAGAGAGTTCTCAGTGTCTTTCTTTTCTCGGTGTGTTCTCTGAATGTATCATTATCCAGAGCTGAAGTTCTGCATGACAGTGCTTCGGAAACACATTTAATTTATACTAACCTTTCCATTTCTATTTTCCCACACACACTTTCTCACTTTTGGAGATTGGTGCAGCATGTCCAGAATATTCACAACCACATAAATACACTGCTGTCCAAAAGTTTGGGGTTGGTAAGATTTAAATAACTGTTTTCTATCTGAATATAATTAAAAATTATTACTGCGATGGCAAAGCTGAATTTTCAGCAGCCATTACTCCAGTCTTCAGTGTCACATGATTCTTCAGAAATCATTATAATATGCTGATTTGCCGCTCGAAACATTTCTTATTATCTATGTTAAAAAGAGTTGTGCTGCTCTTAATATTTTTGTGAAAATCATGAAACATTTTTTTTCTTAGGATTCTGTGATTAACAGAAATGTTTTGTAATATTATAAATGCCTCTACTGTCACTTTTGATCAATTTAATGCATCTTTGCTGTAAAAAAATGCTGACCCCAAACATTTAAACAATGTATAGTATAGAATAATGTATACATATTATTGATATAAAGCACAGTGATTTCACTCAGATCAGCCAAAATCTAAGACTTAAATATGAATTCAAACATGTCTAACCAAATTAGGACTATGCTATAGACACTTACTGTGCAGGATACATGTCAACAATTGTCTCAGTAGCTTCTTTTAGCTAACAATTTAAAAGAAACAGCTGAGAATGTTGTGACAGTAAACAGAATTAATGAATTAACAGCAAAAATAATTGGTTTAAACAGATTTTCTTGAACACAATCCTTTCCACCAAACTCACACCATTAGTTGACCCAACGTTGCTGTTTCAAGCTTGTCAGGATGCTGTAAGCTATGAAAGAGCAGCACCTGAGTACTAAACCATTGTCTAGGATCACAATATTTATATTTAAAGAAACTTTAAAACATCAGTGTCAGGCTTTGAATAGTGCCGTATCACTGCTTCTCGGTTTTCTGGTTCAGACCGGGGTCTTAATGAATGACAGAGAAATTGGTAATCCTCCGTAATCCAGAGAGAAAGAGAAGGTGGCGTGCCGTTTGAAGTGAGGGCAGCGAGAAGTTCTCCATTCACCCCCTGCGGTATCTGGCATGCTTTAGCTTGTGTTTGTTTGGCGCAGGGCATAGCACTCTTTCACATTTGTTATTCACTTTGTGTGTACACTGTGGACTTAGCGCTGTCTGTTTCCATTAATGAGGATAAGTGCAGCGCTGTTCTCGAGTTCCACTGCATTTGTGTAGCAAGATCTTTAAAGAACCAAAAGGGGGGGGGGGGG